GTGATATAGTATGCTGAATTACACCCTAATTGCAAAAAGCTCTGGTTCTGTATATCTTTGTCAAATTACATAAAGCCTTTTTTTCCTTCTTGATATGATACATATAGTTTTGCTATCTTATCCAAAGCTGGTAAGTTGATTGTGTGTTAAAACTAACAACAGTGTTAAGTATTAAATTTCCTTGCTCACTGATTTTCCTAATGATTACTATTGTCATTTAAGAGTGTGCAGACATTGGACCAATGTAATTTGCTTTTAGATTGATGGAAAAAGTATATTCCAGTGCAATTGACAGACAAAACTTCATTTTAGGAAAAGATAATTCTGTAGGCTTGGAAATGATCTAATGAACTGACTGAGCTCTAGAGAGAGAAAATGAGGATCCCACAAATGCTACATTTGATGGATCTGCTCAGAACACAGACATGGAGGAATGGCATGCACAGTGCCCAGCAGCACAATGCTCAGCGTCAGCAGACGGTGGAAGTCTTAACCACGTCCAGCTACAGTACAGGCAGGCAGAGGCTGTCTGTCCTGTGTGGGAGAGGTGAAAGGAGAGACCATGCTGGCTGACCCTGAGCCCTAAAGGGGAAAGGGGAAGCCAGCTCCAAGAGGGGAATTCAGCTGGGTCACCAAAGGCTGTAGCCTCTCATTGAGGAACCATGAAAGGAAAGATAGGGCTGGGAAGAGGAGGAAAATTTGCATAACAGCAGTGGAAGTTTATTTTTAAAATTGGTAATATTCTCATGGTTCAAAATTTTAGAGTCCAAAGATGGATATAGCGTAAATCTTCCTCCCAGTATTGTTCCCTAACTACCTTGTTCCCTTCCTCAGAGATAACCATATGGAGGACAAGTACACGTGTGCATTTTTCTTCCTTTTTACACAAATTGATACCATAATATTTGAGGGTTTTGTACGTATAAACGTATTTTTTGTAGTTGCATAGAAATTGAATGTATGGATATGGAAGGACTTATTTAGTCCCAAGTTGGCTATTTATAGGTTGTTTCCAGTCCTTGCAGTCGAGAACAATGCTGTACTGAATCCCTCTTTGCCTGTGTCGGTTTGCGTGCGTACGAATAGCTATGGGATAAATTCCTACTAGTACATTTGCTGAGTCAACATGTATTTGTATTTGATGTATTTGTTTGTGCATTTTTAAAATTGTATCAGACATTGAGAAGTTACCCCTCATAGAACTTGAGCTAATTTACATTCCCGTCAGCACTGTGTGAGAGTTCGCTTCTCCCTAACACAGGGCTTTATCAAGTTTTGCCCGTTTAGTCGGTGAAAAGTGGTATCTAATCATGGTAATTTCATTTTTTTCCTCATAAGTGAGACTTACGAGATTCACTTTTAATGTTTTAATATGAGACTTGTAATATTTTTAAAAATAGTCTATTTTTCCTTCTGTTTGTATCCTCCTTTTGTTTAAAAAAGTTTTTTTAAGTTTATGTGATGTTTTTGGACGTGATAGAAATTGGGATATGAGTCGTGAAACAAAGTGATTTTTTACCAGTTTTATTCTTCAGCTGTGTTGTGCAAGAGGAAGAACAGGAAAATTTTGTGTTTTATACCCGAGTAGATTTGGGGATGAAAGTGAGGGCACTGAGAGAGCAGACTCTGTCTTGCACGTTTCAGTCTTTACAAAGATTGTAATGAGTAGTTGGTGGAGCCAACTCGGTTAGCTGGAAAATACCGGTTAACTTGATAAACCTGAGGATGTTTGGAGACGTCAGACGCCTGTCCTAGTTGTCTTATTTGAAAACTTATGTGAGGCAAGCTAGGTAAAGGGGGAAGATGCTTAATTTCACATTTGTTTGGTCATGTGGGAGCACGTATGTTGGAGACATAACCTACATAGCTTTGAAGAGAGAGAAGCTGAACTTGAGTAGGGACGGGTTGACAGTAGCTCCCCCCGCCCCCCTGGCCCCACCTCTGCTTTTAAAAAAAATTCCAAAGTATTAAGAGTACAGGCCCGGGAAGGGGAGACTGCTATTCAGGGCAGAATTACTGCGGAAAATAATCCTAATGTGACAGCAAGCTGAATGTGGGGACATTTTAGTTCCAAAAGTACTTTTTAGTGGTTGTTAGATATTGGCAGGGTCCTATTGATCCCACAGAGGAGGAAGACTGTTAGGAATTTATAATTTAGGTAATTAGATAATTTAAACAAAAAAAATGGACGTTTCCATGAGGGAAATAGTCATCATATCCCTTATCTAATAGTCAGTCAGTTCACATTTATTGAGTACCAATTGTTGACCAAAAGTTGCCAATGAATAAAGGCAAAGTCCCCATCCTCAAGCATGGCGCCTCCTGGTGGTGAAAGAGAGTATTTGGCGAGGAGTCACCTGATTTGAATTCCTACCCAAGTTGCGTTTCCTTATAAGAATATTGATTTTTCTTCCCCTCAAGAATTTCTAAAGATCAAAGAGGATTACAAAACAATTGGTTATTGAGAGAAAGTTAATAGATTTAGAGAATGGAAAAGTTTTGTGGTATAATGTTATGAAAATTGTCTATTAAAGTCCTCTAGAAAGTCTTTTAAAAAAGGGGTGGTGAGTACACTCTCATTCTGTGAGGTGAATTAATTTTATTTGGATGTGGTGGAGAAAGTGTGGACTCTGGGGTCAAGCAGCTCTGACTGTAACCTTGAGCTCTCTGAGCTTTGGGAAACAAATATATTATGCACATATTTATAGAAAATAGTGATATCGAATGGCCTGGCACATAGGCACCCTGTATATAGTAACTCTTGTTGAGCCCACTGGTTCTAAGCTGCTTTTAGAGCAGCTCGAAATGACTTGAGCTGGGGAAGGCTGATCCCTCCAGGACTCGCTCCACTGAGCCCTACAAGCCTGCTCTGTGGGCTCCACATGACTGTCTGCTGCCTAAACTGACCTTGTGTGATTTCTTCACACCGTTTCCTTGGCAGGCCACCCAGAGCTCACATCTTCAGGTAATGAGGCTGAGTTGATACTCTCAGTTGACTTCTTTTCTTTCCTTAGCATCTGTTACGTGGGAGTCTGTGTACTGCGGTGTGCTTGTGCAGGTGTGAGTGGAACTGGGAGGTTAAGAGGATACATTCCCGAGTCCACTTCCATGGAATAGACTCTCTATGCCACCACTTTTTTAGCTGTGACTCTGGTTAAGTTAATCTGTCTTAGTTTACCCCCATCTGTAAAATGGGGATAATTATAGTCCTTAGTTCATGAGGCTGTTGAGAGAAACTAACATAATGCCCCTAAAACACTTACCATAATACCTAAATGGTAGGAAGAGCTCCACAGTCAGCAGCTCTTGTGCATTTTTCGTTGCTGTTGATGATAACCTGTTCTTGTTCAGGACATTTCATTTCAGATAATGACTGGACACTGATGCTCAGGAGGTAGGGAGCTAGTTTAAAAGTGTCTGTGGCTGCCTCTTTTTGTTACTTAAACCTCTATGAATGCCATTTTTAAGAGGATTGATTCCTCAATAAGGCTCTGTCTCTCAGAATTTAATGTGGAAATTTCTGCCACCTTGTGGCTAAGAAAAATCAAAGGTTCACAGTAAATATATTACTAGGAAATACATTTGTGTCAACCTTAAGTCTCAAACTATTAATCTGTTAAAATAATAATAAAATGAGTAAAAAATAATGAAAACTTAAAAAAATCATTGAAAACAAGAGTACGTATTACGTTCCTTGGAGCAAGAGAGGCTTGGGTCTCCACGATACCTATTTCCTTCTGGGGATGGTCAGATAACACTGTCCGGCATAGACATTACTCACTGGAAGATTTGTAATGTATGACAAAGAAATAACCCTTTAGAATTTGTAGGCATTCCGTTCTTACACTTTTCTTCTTTAGGGTTCTTCTTTTTTTTTTTCCCTTCTTCTTTTCCCCAAAGCCCCCCAGGACATAGTTGTATATTCTAGTTGTGAGCACCTCTGGTTGTGCTATGTGGGACACCGCCTCAGCGTGGCCTGAAAGGCGGTGCCATGTCTGCGCCCAAGATCCAAACCAGTGAAACCCTGGGACACCAAAGCGGAGCATGCAAACTTAACCGCCCGGCTGCGAGCCTGGCCCTTTCTTTAGGATTCTTATTTCTGATGTTTGTTTTTTGTTAGAGAATAGGAATAATAGTTTATTTAAATATTTTTTTTTCTCCCCGAAGCCCTAGTACATAGTTGTATATCCTAGTTATAAGTCCTTCCACTTCTTCTATGTGGGACATCGCCACAGCTTGGCTTGATGAGCTGTGTGTAGGTCTGCGCCCAGGATCTGAACTGGCAAACCCTGGGCTGTCGAAGCTGAGTGCATGAACTTAACCACTGTGCCACCAGGTTGGCCCCTGTTTATATTTTGAAGCCATAATTGCAGATCCTTTTATATCAGTTTGAAGACCCGTATCAAGTACACACAGTTATGGTTAGAAGTGTTGGAAACAATTTGGCTAAAGGGAGGAAGTTCACTCTTAAACTTTAAAATTAATGCAAAGAGATGATTATAATGTCAACTTTAAAAATTATGTAAATAGATGATTTATTCTGGAAAAAGAAATCACAGATAAAGCAGTGAGACAAAGGACTTTCTTGCTGTGTTGCCATTCAGAGACAACCACTGTTCAGTTTGCCATCCAGTTTTGTAGACTTCATCCTGTGCATCATAACTTTTAAAATTACAAAGATCATTCTGCAGAGTTTTGCAGGTTGTCTTTCCATTAACGATATTTATGCTGTTTGTAATCTCTACGTAGTGTTTCCTCCCGACCACATTCTACATATCTAGTCCTCTGCATCTAGGTTGTTTGAGTTTTTTTTGCTTTTAGAACCAGTTTAGTAATGAAGGCTTTTGTAGGTAAATATTTGGGCTTTGTCCATAATTGTTTTCTTAAGATGCAGCCTTCAGTTGTATTACAAGGCCTTTGGTAATTATTGCTGAATTGTATGTCTCAACCTCTTATTCTTGCTACAAGCATAAAACTGAATTAAGAATGAATGGCCAAACCTGATTTTGTTAGGACCTTTGTGATATACAGCAGTGCGGTCTAGGAATAAGAAAAAGGAAAATTTTAGACACAGGATTTTAGAGTTGGAGGGGACCATAAATCTAATCTTTGTTTTGTAGCTGAGGAAGCTAATGCCAAACAAGAAAATGACCTTTCCCAGGTTGCATGGCTACTTGTTGTTCCAGCTGGGCTAGAATTCCGGTGTCCACTCCATTCTCTTTTTCACCATTAAGATTTGTATGTGTGTACCGCTGGATATGTTCCACTTCTCTGAGTCTCATTTCTTCTTCTTTCTCTGCCTCTTGAGTTAAACTGCTTACTCTCTCTCAAGGCTCTTACAGCTCTAAACTGTCATCTACCCCAATAAACTTCTTATCAATACAGTTAAGAGCTACCATCTAGAAAAACTACCCACCATCTTCTAAATGACTCTTAAAATAGTGTTAGAGCAGAGTCAAATAATGATGGAAAACAGAATCCTGAGTAAAATGCATGTTGGATAAACAACCTTGAATTTTGTTGAAGTGAATGTATATGTTTTGAATAATTATGACAATTGTTCATCATATGTTTTTCATATACAGTAGGTTTGGTGAAAATATAATGTTTTCCCCATGAATTCAGCAGACCACCAAATGATACAGCTGAATATCAGATTTTGTGCATAGAAAGGGTTTTCAGCTATTTGACTTAAAATTCTGAAACTTAGGATCTTTAGCCATTGTCTGCAGTTAGGTTACTCCTGTACTTTCTCAGCTATGGCCAAGTTTGGAGCACTGTGGTTTGAGGGGTCAGGAACTCTGCTTGGCTGGCAGTTAGACAGTGGGATACACACAGTGTGTGCCGTCTGCTTTGACAGCAGCAGCCCGAGTTTGGAGCCTTTGGGGCCCAGATTATGCGCTGGGTACTGGAGTACCGTGCAACCTGACCTCTCCAGTGAGAGAATCTTTTCTTTTCCCCTTAAAGAAAAAACTTTTTAAAGCAACACAATGAAGTTTGGTAGTTATAGATACAGTTGATTCCTTCATGGGGTTCATATTTCCTTATTTTTTATTTTCTTTTATTTTGTTTTTTAAAGATTGGCACCTAAGCTAACGTCTGTTGCCAGTCTTTTTTTTTTTTTTTCCTTCCTCTTCTTCTCCCCAAAGCCCCCAGTACATAGTTGTATATTTTAGTTGTGGTCCTGCTGGTTGTGCTGTGTCGGACGCTGCCTCAGTGTGGCCTGATGAGCGGTGCCATGTCTGCGACCAGGATCTGAACCAGCGATACCCTGGGCCACCGAACTGGAGGGGGTGAACTTAACCACTCTGCCACGGGACCGGCCCCTGCTTATGTTTTTGGAAGAACCTTTAATGATTTGTTTCTCCTGGGCTTTGAAAAGATTTAAAGTTGCTTTGAATGAATATCTAATTGGTTGACACTTCTGCAATTCCAACTTTCTGTAATAAATATACATCATAAATACTAATAAAATTTCTCAGCTGTTGTCTTCCTTTAGAAATAACCAAAATATTTTAGGGCCCTTCCTCCACATTTCACTTAGGAAAAAAAGGGAGAGGGAAAAAGCAAGGAACAATGTGTTAACTTAAGGATCTGTTATCAGGGCCTTGGTAAATAAGTTACGCTGTATGCCTGTTCCCACCCTGTGAAGCTTATGAAAAGAATGCCCTCTGACATAGAAATCATGTGGAAATATCCCAAGATATATTGTATTTGAAAAAAGTAAGCCATAAAACTTTGTACATTGTGATCCCAGTTATGCTTTTAAAGAAGGTGCTGAACACGTACGCACATGTGTAAACATGGCAAGGACTGGTCCATTTGCAGAAGTTATCACAGTTAGCAGTAACTCTGGGAAAGGTCTTAGAGAGTTGGTGATGGTGACAGAGAAATTTCTTGTCATTTTTCTGTATGACTGGGATCTTTTATAGTCAGAGTTCATTGTGTATTAGCGGCTGTAGGACAGCCATGTAACGGGGGCTTGAAGTGGGAAAAGAGGGCAGAATTCCGCATCCTGAGAACGTCAACATGCCTTGTCTGGTTGCCTGGGCCTGCCTTCCAATTCCATGCTTTTGGTGCCTTTTTTGGTGGTAGGACCATTCCTTTTTTTTCCCCTCTTCCATTTAAGTTAAAACACTGAAAGCTCTCCAAATAAGGAAAGCAGTGTGTGAACCAGAAATGACCACTCTGAGCAACTAGAGAGAGACCATTTCATGCCTGTTTTACTTTCTCTGCCTGAGCCGAATGCAGGGCCCATTGGAACAGAATCTGAGCAAAGAATCTGAGTAATCCTAGGGAAAGTTGTTAATTTTGTTGTGTACGAGGGGGTGTGTATTATTACAAGTGTGTTTATGCGTGCTTTTGAAATCTCGGCCCTATCTTCTATCAATTTTTTTATTGAACTCTCCACTTTTAAAATATGTAGGTAAGGTAGAACACAGTGATTTGGATGAATCTTATAAACATAAGTCAAAGGTGCCAGACATGAGAGAGTACATAACATGTGTTCACATATACTTATTTATATAGAATTTTAGAACAGGCCAAATTAATCTATGGTGTTAGAAGTCTAGGGAGGGGCATATACTGGAAGGAGGCACTGGTATGTCCTAGTTCTGGATCTAGAATTTTCACCTTGTGAAATAGAATATAGATATAGAAATACAATAGAAGTATTCATTGAGATAAATACTTAGGATTTGGGTACTTTTCCATAATAAGTTTCAAAACGTAAACAGTAAAGCTCCATCCATTCAAAACAGAGAGATGCATGGATGAATGGACACATGGATGCATGGATGGATAGATGGATAGATAAGGTAGAAAACAGCTTCATTTGCTTTTTTGATTCTCCACCATCCCGGCCTCTCTGCCCCAAATCAGATAATAAACTCCACATTGTCAGGGACTACTGTTTTCTCAGGGACTGGCTCATAATAGGTACTGAGAGTTTATTAAGTGATTGATTATCCTGAGTATTAAATTCTATCAATCTCCTGTGAGTGATTTAAAGATATTTGTCCTTCCATTCTTAAAATGTTTTAAATATTTGTAATTTTTAAGAGAGTGAAGCGAGGGAGGTGTGTGTTTCTTTTCCATCCTGATTTGGAAAGACTAGCCAGGAGAAGGACTGCCCACTCAGTTCTCTCGCTGTTGGGCACTTCTAAGCTTTGCTAACCTCGTGGGTAATAGATCAAGAGTTTGACAAAATGCCTTTTTTATTACTTTCTATTCTTCATTGGTAGATTGCAAGTATGTTCCCTTTGGAAACTTGTTGGTGTTTTCTTTCCTGGGTGTACTCAAAGGAAAAGTGTGTATGTGTGTAGGGGGGTGTTATGTGTGTTCTGGGTTTACTACTTGTTCAGTGGCTTTATTCAGAAGTTTTAGAGCCAATCAATCAGAGTGGAAGAGATGGGTATTGCTTTGCTGAAATGTTAATTATATAGCTTGATTTCTCTGCCCACCACCTGCCCCTTGTCAACTTTCAGAGCTTTAGACAAACTGAATGGATTCCAGTTGGAGAACTTCGTGTTGAAAGTGGCCTACATCCCTGATGAAATGGCTGCCCAGCAGAACCCCTTGCAGCAGCCCCGAGGTCGCCGTGGGTTTGGGCACAGGGGCTCATCGAGGCAGGGGTCTCCAGGATCAGCATCTAAGCAGAAACCGTGTGACTTGCCTCTCCGCCTGTTAGTTCCCACCCAATTTGTTGGAGCCATTATAGGAAAAGAAGGTGCTACCATTCGGAACATCACCAAGCAGACCCAGTCTAAGTGAGTATCCCGCGTGTGTGGTGGGCATTAATGCTTCCCCCTTTGAATCTTAATAACAGAGTGTTTGTTTTGGTACTTGGTGTCCCTCTGAACCTGGTTATGACCCCTTCTTATACAGTACTTGGGAATCTGGGAGAACTTTGTGACTTGATATCTTAGTGTTCATTTTATGTAAATCTGGAGCTAAACCTTAATCTCAAAGGGAACCTCAAATTTTCACACATGAATGGAAAACAACTGTTACCTAATCCACTTCTGATGGGGGAGGCCCTGGCAAACAAAATGGCAGCTTCTAGGTTGTTCTCTGCTCCCCCTATCCCCACCCACCCCCAGTGATACCTGCCTTCAGTGTTTTGGGAAGTAATTTTCTGGATCCAATACAGTCTTTCAGTCTTGCTTTACTTTAGTGAGGAATCATTCAGCTTACGGTCCAAATTTATCTCGTGATTAAGCCACGTGGTTAGAATGGCTTTTTCTTCAGGATGTTGTTTGATAGTTTTAATTTGCAGATTTTAAGAGATTGAAGGAGTCTCTGTCAAACATTGGAGCTAACTTTGCAGGAGTAGAAAGCAGGAGCTATTTGTTTTTATTTACCACTGTAGCCCCAGTGCTGAGCACATTGCCTGATATGTAGAAGGCTCTATATTTGTCAAATGAGTGAGATGACTATATGTAAATTATGTTTGATGCCCTTAAAATACATCTAAGATGCTTTCTCAATCTAGAAGCTCCAATGCATTATATATTAGTTGTTTTTCTCTGTTATCCATCCTGTTATGCTGTACGTGGAGATTTTGACCCAAAGAAGCTTGGTGATGAACTCGCTCCCCGCCCCTAGATGTGTAAAATGCTACCAGGCACATCTCTGGGACAGCTGCTGCCATATCTCCTGAAGAACTGTGAGTGTGCTGGGAGAAGAGGCTGTGTTCAAACCTCTCTTGTGTCATTCTACACCAAAGGGTAGGGAAGTGGCCTTGGGCCCGCTACAGAGATGACTGAATTATTTTGCTTTTTAAATTTAGTAAGGAAAATTATTTCATTTTATGTGATGCAAGGAATTAAGCAGAGTCCTTTTTTGACAGTACAACTATGGTACTGTGTATACTGTCTGTGTTTGTTCCAACAGGCCTAAGAGGATCCATATTCGTCATAGGCACCATGCCTGTGTTAAACTAGCACAATCAAAAAGAACTGTGTCTGGCCGTGGTTGTGTGCCCACTGCCCTACAGAGGGATGTCTGATCTGCCTTCCCCTGTTCTGAAGCAGGAGATGTTGGGTGCCGTTACCTTTGTGCAAAGTTAATGGCCTTGACCTCATAATGTAGAGGGTGGGAATGATAATGGAACTGTAGCATAGATGGCAGTTTTAATCTTAAATTTGCCTGGTTTTAATCTTAAAATTTAAGAGCTTTTTGCTTCCCCTGATCTACTGTTACCTGCAGAAACTAATTATTAAAAGGTTTTCCTTCCTTGTTGTGTGGCAGGTTAGAGCTGTTACTTTTGACACTACTCATTTCCTTGTCAGAGGAGAGAGCTGCTGTGACTTAAATTGAACTGTTTGTTCTAAGGCAGGAAGATGGAGGATGGAGAGGGAAGGGAAGCAATTTTTGTTATAGCCAATGATTCATTTGCCAAGCGCTGCCAGTGGATTTAATTAACTCTTGCCATTGAAACTAGTCATTATCTGATCCTCTGTTTCTGGAATAGCCTCAGAGGGTTACCCTAATCTGCAAGGCAATATTCTCTTTTCTCAGAGAGTTGAGTTTAGTAATCCTTAACACACTGAATCAGTAGAAATAAGCCAGAAGGAGGGAGTTTAACATGTTACCTGCTGGAAGATAAGCAATACTTACCGTGATTGGGGACTGAAACAGTGGATGGAAAGATGGTTCCAGATTGGATCTGTAATTTAAAAGACTGTTGTTTATTATTTATTTCATTTCTACATTGCCCTTATTTTTAGTTATAGGTTTTACTTCTGAGATAGAGCTTCAGTTTTCAACCAAACATTTGAGAAAAGGAAATCCAAACCTTGAAGTTACTAGCATGAAGTAGGCGTTCTCATGGCCATGAGTTATATAGCTCTTTATCATTTAGTGTAGGAGTGACCAAAGGGACTCACAAGTATCTAATTTTCCCTGAACACACTTTTATGGATAGTTGATTTCCTTTCTTGTACTTTTTTTTTTCCTGAGGAAGATGCACCCTGAGCTAACATCTGTGCCAATCCTCCTCTATTTTTTTGTATGTGGGACACCTCCACAGTGCGGCAGGTGAGTAGAATAGGTCCATGCCTGGGATCCGAGCCTGTGAACCAGGTCCCCTGAAGCAGAGCGCACAG